TGCCCAGGCCTCACCTCCTGCACTGCATCATTACGTAGCCCTCCCTCCCTCCACTCCCCGTGCAGTGAGTAGATTTTCTCTTTCCAGCTATATGGTGTACTTCCCAAATTGAAGGGGGATAAATACATTTACTCTTCTCCCTGGATCCCACCTGCTTCCGTGAGGGAAAACAAGTGCCAGTTTGCCACTACTCAGGTGCTCTAGGTGAAGCACAAACAGAAACAATTCCTGCAGCAGGTTAATGTTCTCCCCCCTCTCCAGCACCGAGAAGGCACAGGACCAAACTCTGGTGCCTTTCCAGGACAGCTCATCAGTGACTATCCTGTCCCTGGGGGCCATGACCATACTGTTTTCCTTCTCTCAGAGGTCATATCTCTGTGCTTCTTCCAGGCTGTGAACAGTACATTAAAAGTAAGATAACGATGCTTGGATGATTTTGTACACATGGTTTTTTGCTCCGTGGAAATCAAAGTGCACCTGACAACTATGCATTTAAGATGCAAGGAAGGGCGCAGCCCCAAAAAGCTCAGTGCTTCAGTTCTCCCTCCTCCTTGTCTCATGAGTCAGAGGACACTGGTTTCAGTTCCATCACTAGAGCTACTCTTACAAATTTTAAGCAGGGAAGAGGGTGGAGGTAAGCATCCTACTGACCCTACCCTGTCCTGTGTTCCCTTAGCAGTCTTGGGCCCTGCACAAAGTTGGTTTCTTAGGTCCCAAAATGACCCTGGCTCAGCACATTTTGTATTTCCACTGGAATGCTGAACACTGGGCTCCATGACTGCAGACAGCTCAGTCACAAGGTTCTCAGGGTGTTATTGTGGCAATGACTCACCACAGCATGTGACAAAAATGGGCATCCTGATGTAGTATGGAGAGGGAGAGCCCAGAGAAATACTCCCTGAAAGACCAAGAGCTGATATCAGCCCACCTTGCGAGCTCATCATCTCAGTCTAGGTCTGGGAGTCCTGGGGAACAGTGCACCAAACACAAGCCAGCACTGTGACATGGTGGGAACACAGGTAACAATATACTGGGCTGTATCGGCAAGAGCCTAGCCAGAAGAGAGAGGAAAGTGATTATTGCTTTTACTTGGCACTTGTTAGAGAATATTTGGGATACCGTGTCCAGTTTTGGGCCCCCAATACAAGAAATAGGTCAGTAAAGTGCGGGGAGCTGAGCAGAGACCCACCGTGAGGTCAGATGGCTGGAGCACCTGCGCTGTGAGGAGAGGAAGAAAATGAGCTTGCTCAGCCTGGAAAAGGAGGGCTTTGAGGAAAGCTTTCCATTACTTAGAAGAAGCCGGGCTCTTTATGGAGGGGCAGAAGAATGAGACCCAATGCTTATAAATTGAAATTGGAGGTTCAGACTGGATGTAAGGAAAAACTTTTCCCCTGAGGACACTGCAGGCTGCCCAGAGAAACGGTGCAGTTTCCATCCTCAGAGGTTTTTAAGACCTGACTGGACAAAGCCCAGGGCAGCCTGGGGCTGCTCACGCTGTGCTGGGCAGGAGGCGCAGCCCCTTCCCACCCAAACAATCTGTGGTTCAATCACAGAGCTGAAAGTGATCACGCCCTGAAGAAGGCTCTTCCCTGTTCTGCGTGGCCTGTTTGCTTACTCACAGAGCAGTTACTCAGAAGCAGATGGTTCAAAATCACCCTAACCTCTGCCACAGCTGCCAGTGAGAAGCCACGGGCTGAACAGGCCAGGGTGGAGATCCTGGCCATGGAGAGGCAGTTCCTACAGGACTCCTAAGCCAGAGACACTGTTGGAGGGAAGCTGTCCTGCTCTGTCTCATGCTGTACCTGCTCTGGGCGAGCAGCAGTACTTGCCAGGGCCACGAATCTGACCCATGTTCGGCCATCACCGCGATTCTGACGAAACAATGCAATGGAGGCAAGAACTGGAAAAGCAGGAACAGAAAATGTATTTATAGCAAGTGACCTGGCAGGCTCTAACAAATCTCCACACAGATTTGCTGTGAAGCAAACAAAACAATTTGAGAAGCCTACCTTGATCTAACAAAACTCATGTTTCCTTCACAGTCTGTATCCAGATATAGACTGCATGGGCAAATTTCAGTTTTGAGTTTTGCTATGCATATTCAATAAATAAAGTAATTTAAACTGGCAGTCAAAACAAGCTGGACAAACTCTGAAATGTTTTTACTTTTCATCTTTTACATTTTACTTTTTTGTTTTTACTTTTCATCTTATATTTTGACTACCAAACCACTGCAGCCTGCCACAGAATGGAAATTCAGGATTTTAAACAAGTCTAGTTTCCAGCCCACGTGCATTGTTAACTGCACACTCACATTATTTTTAACACAACGCGTAGGCCTTTTCAGGTCAAAACAATAACTGTAACTCTCTCAGCAGTTCTCAGTAATGTACTCACTACTGCAAACTCAGGTTAGTGTTTGGAGATGCAGATTTTTTTTTTTTAAATGCAAATTCATCAAATTCTACAAGCCCAATGTGATTTTCAATGACTGCTGTGCCTTTGGGTGCTCTGTACTTGTTTAGAAACTGCTGCAGCCTGGGGAGCAAATCTGGACGATGACAAAGAGCATAAGAAGCTGGAGCCTGTCCATCTTCCTCCACTGGCTTGACACACCCGAGCTGATAAAACCAAAAAGCAGACGGAACTTGAGTTCCCATGACTGAAACAGGACCGCGTGCTTTGAAATGAAAACTTACAGCTGTCCATGGGCATTTTTAGAGCAAAATCATGTGCTCCATTAACGTGGCAGTAATTTCAGTTCCTGTATGTAGCATCGGGATTTGGAGCTGGCAGCGCTTAGTTGGATTCTGCTGTCGGGAATAGCAGAAGCAGCAGAAAAGTTTTCTTTCTTATTCCTCCATCAAAATAAAAAAGTGGCTATAAGGTTTAGACTTTGTGAGAACCTCCTGAGCTCTTTCCTCAAGAAAACGGGTCTGGGGCGTCGAGGGGCTGCGCGGCAGCTGAGTGCTGAGGCTGGTACACAGCACATCAGCCGCACAGCCGGGACCGGAGCTGGGGGCGCCTCAGCCCCCCCGAGCACTCAGCGCTGTCCACGGCTCCTCTCTAAATCCCTCAACAACGTCCTCGTGAAACCCCGGCGTCAACAGCGGCCGCAGGGCCGAGCAGGCGCAGGGGGGGCTGCACAGAGCTCTAGCGATGCTCCGCTCCGCGCCGGTCCTGCCACCCTCAGGCT